AGTACCCACATGGATTTTGATATATTTTTCATATATACATCTATATATATATATATATAAATATATGAAAAATTGATGTGGGTACTCAAATGAAAGCTCTCGGTGAGTGTAACATCGGGATGAGCTTATATCTTTAAAAACTCAATATTAAAGAAAGTACAGTGCAATTTATCAAATATCTTATGAACCATTGACATTTTTAAAGATATAAGCTCACCTCGAACTTACACTCATCAAGACCTTTCATTTGAGTACCCACATCAATTTTTCATATATTTATATATATTATATATATGAAAAATATATAAAAGTGCATATGGGTACTCAAATGAAAGCTTTTGACGAGTGTAACATCGGGATGAACTTATATCTTCAGAAACTTCAATAGTTAGAAAAGTACAGTGCAATTTAACAAAATTCATTATTTAATGAAGCAAAATTCTATGAATTTATTTATTTATTTCATATGTGTGTCAGTATATTAATTACACTGAAAAAAAATTATTTTCACAAAAAAAATTCCTGATTAAAATCATTTTTTGTAATTAAAAATTTGATAAAAAAAATTTTTTTAATTAAAAAATTTTTTTCCAATTAAAAACAAATCTTAATTATTTTATTTTTTTTCAGTATATAAGTATAAGTGTAAATATATAAGTAGGGAATTCCATAAAGAGATAAACGTCAAGTTAAGATAAGTTCAAACTACGTAATCGTTAGTATATATTTAATATGTTGATGTAAATGACCTGAAGGCGTGATCGGTCACTAGGATGATCTTAAACGTTGGTTAGTAAAGTATCGTAGGGTATTGGGATAGGATATTTATATATTTACAATATATTTATCTATATATATATAAATATAAATACAACAAGTTAGTCCGTTAACCCAAGGAGTAATTACTATGAGAGTTTGTATATAAAGGTATATAATGATGGTGGCAGGTAAACGGGCGATGTCAGGTGTGTCGAGCCACTCCTCCTTCACCTCTCGCTGCGTTCGCCCGCGGTCATCGCCATCACGGAATTCCCATCACTAATATATTGTAAGCTAAGCTTAGCTGTGTTGTGTGTTAAGCTCTTTTATTGTACTAACTTATAAGTAAAGTTAAGTTAAGGTAGAGGTTGATGTAAGTGTATATAGAATTTACTGTGTGCTGTGAATATAAAGAATGAGAGGAATGAGAGGTAAGGATGAGCAAGAATAATTGTGAGTATGTATGTGTGTATAACGTTGTTCAAGGACGTTGATTAATACCTCAAAGGCATCGTTCAGCGAATGCATCCTCATTCGCTCCCGCTCGTTACTCTCCAATCGTCTGAGGTTTCTCTCTCTCGCGGAAATACCACTTTTTCGTCTTCTCGTTGTTGGCGGACCGCTGCTACCGCGATTTCGCCTTTTAGCTTGCTTCGGACTACGTTCACTCCCACTGCTGTCGCTCTCCTCCCCCATCTAATTAATGTTTCATAATATCAGTTTTATTGGAGAAACTGAGTCATTATTTATGATACTATAGTTAGCCGAGGTTCAATAATTTTTGATTTTTTTTTAGTCATTAAATTATTACTAAATAACCCGTACAAAAAAAATTTTGGTTCCGGATGAATTTCCGGATGAACTTCAGATTGTGAAACAAATATGAATTTCATCATGAAAGTCAGCTGGAATTCCAGATGAATTTCATGATGAATTTGAAACAAATAGTATATGAAACAATTATTTTAATTTGTGAAATAATATTCGGAGACAGTTATATTGGAATTTTTAGCTTTATTTACACTGGTTCAACATTTGCAATTCTATAACGTCTATTCGGATAAAATTTTTGGAGTA